AAGAAGCAGAAGAAGATGATGATGAAGAAGAAGAAAAGGTGGAGAAGTTCTTTGCTTTGATCAGAAGCACAAAGGAGATGCGTGATCGTCTAAGAAACGTACCCAATGGATCAAAAGAAGGAGAAGAAGAAGAAGAGAGGAAGAAACAGGAAGAGAAGCAGGTTGCTGCCGTGTGGAATCCAAAATTCCAACCAGAAGATTTCACGGAGGATGCCAAGCCTAAGAACCTACTGGCAGTGAATGAAGCAGGTCCTTCCTCGAAGAGAGAACAAGAACAAGGACAAGATACCAAGGAAGGAGGAGAAGACAGTGGTTTAGATCTCAAGCTTTCTTTGTAGTGAACTTTTTCTTCTTCTTGTTGCATGTTCAAAAGAATGGAAAAGTAGTCAAGCCTTCCTACTGTTGCATATCAATTCATATCTTTCGAATGCCTTTTGAATGGACCCCAATGCTTATATCTAAATTTGTCAATCAAACTTTAAATTATTGTGTGGCTCTTTTTGGTTCAACTTGATATTTCTCACCGGCAAGCTTGGGAAATCAAACTTAATTACCCCACAAAAACATGTTTCCCAGGCTGCACATTTTTTGCAGAAAATGAAGATTTCAATCAATTTTTTTAGATAAAAAAATATATACCTTTGTCATTGAATCAAATTATAACCTTAAAAGCAGACTAGCAGCTTGAAACGTTCCTTACTTGGGCTGTAAGGGCTGCTGGCTTTGATGCCCAAGCTGAAAGTGCTTTCAGCTTGGAACTTTAGGACCTAGTTGCATATCAGAAGGCCCGGTTTTGAACAGATCAATGGTAGTTGTTGGTACACATATGAGAATCATTCACTGTGCTTTGTCTCATCACTCCATTTCATGGTTTCACTATTTGGCAAATTGCAAACCTTTTTTGTCCTCGAAAATCGTGCCTTTTTTGGCAAGTCTTTCGAGTGCTAAACCCATGAAACCATGAAAATATCTTCTCAAAGAGACCTCCATTGGCTACGAAGGAATCTCCACCATATCAGCAAAGAACAAGTCAAGCAGAAAGAAGCTGTTAAGTACTAATGCTGCAAATAGAAAAAAGAAGATTTACTAGGTAATGCAATGCCATGACGTTCGGAAACCACCCCTTAGTGATAGCGACTTTTGATAAAGATGCAATCTAGTTGATTCACCTTAATCACATTCAATGAACCTAATTTAAAGGTATCATCACCTAGACACAAGTCCCTACATGCATCGATTTTTCTATGACTTGGAGATGTTCTAGTTCAAATGCTTGATCAGGATTTTCTAGCGAAAGTTCATAGGCTTGAACTTCCAACATAAGTCATTATCATAGGAAAAGTGAAAACAAACC